ATGGGGGAAGCTTCTAGCAGCTTCTCACAGAAGCCACCCCTGTAGCCCCCCCACTACCAAAACCTTGCCATGCAAACCCAATACAACTGTCTACAACTGGCTCTTAATTTTGAAAATTAAAGCACAGAGCTGGGAGATTAAATGATGCCAACCTTTTCCTAACCAATATGTACTCCCTGTGCCAACAGCTATTTGGACATTTGTAGTTAAGAAACCTCATCATCAAAGATTTTTAACACTCACTATAGGCGCTGTCAGCGCTCATCTGTTAAAGACAGGAGTTTCTGCCAACTTACTGGTGAGTTTGATGACTTCAAAGGAGTAAACATCCTATACACCAAAAACTCCCTGAACAGGCTACATACATCTGCTGTTGCTGGAGGCTCTTCTGCCACTAAACCATTGCCTGTCCTTTGCAAACTTGGCCAAATTGGTAAACCCTTTGAAATGCCACAAAACCACCACCAAAATAAAAAGTCTCCAGCTGGAAGAAACAACCTCATGTGCTAGACATTCCTAGCAGGAAACAATGAGCATTCTTACTAAAACAGAAATCTAGAAAAGCTTTGCAAGCATCTACAAAACAGCAAAGAGTTCTTTATGGAGAATCATGCCTTCACAAGCATAGTGTGTGAAGACAAGTGTTGAAAAATTGTTCTCCACTCAAAACAGGCAGAAAAAAAAATTATATCAAAGATGGAAAAAAAAGTCAAGTTAAAGGAGTCCAAGACAGACTAGAACTATTCTATTAAATCAAGAACAACATCAGGCCATGGGCTGTAGTCCGGTATTAAATCTCAGAACGTCAGACGAGTGCATCCGCATAAGGTGCACCCTTAAGCTGAAGTGTTATTGATGGAGCACCGGTTGGAGAGAAAGAGAACTAGGACCATTAAATCACTTGTAGAACCAGTACACTGAGAAAAGATGGCCAGAAATGTTTTTATTTTGCACAAGTATAGAACAACATAAATGTCTTTTGACACCTTTGAGCAAATTTCCTTAAACCCCAAGGTACATCCAAGTGTGTTAATCAATGATAACTGAACAAGTAATAATAAGACAGGTAAATGAGCTCCTAATAATGTTGCTCAAATAAATTGAAATCAAACATTTCTGAACCATCAATAGTATCAGCAGATGCTCTTTTTTCAGTCTACTTTTGAAGCAATGTCACCACTGACTAACTTAAAAAGATCACTTTTTTCCTACAACTAGGTGCCCTCTTTTAGACTTTCAAACAGAAAACAGGCAAACTCAATGGCTGTTTTTTGAAGTGGAGCAGTAGATGTGTCTGCTTGTGCAGTACTGACTAAAGATTGAGACAGCAAATCTTGCACAGACAGAACAGATAAGAGAGCTGTCTGACAGTACACTGGAATTTCATTTGCTCTGCAGACAAAATAACAAGGTTGCTTGGAGGTAATCCAATAAACTGTTCCAACAATTATTAACGGAAAGCATTTGAGAAATGTGGAAAACCTGTTAGATTAAAAAAAAAAAAAGGCAAAAAAAGTAGCAAGGCTGAAGGTTTCAAAATTTGTTGAACACTCTCATTAAATGCCTGAATCTCAAGAACCTTGCTGACATTATTTAACATATAAAATGAAGGCTCAATCATAAAAACCCCTCTCATAAAACACGAATAAGATCCAACGTAATCCTCAATCGAGGAATATCAACATTGAGCACTTTAACTTCCACTCTTTCTCCAGGACCTAACCCCAGGCTTCTTCTCTTCTTCACTTTAGAAAGTTTCGCTTCTGTTATGTTTCGCACTGGAATCAAGCCTGCTTTTCCCACACCAATATCAACAAAAACTCCAAATGGCGTCGCATTTTCAACTTTTCCAGTCAGAACAGCACCAACACGTAAGTCTTCAAAGCAGACTATGCTTCTCTTGAAATCAGGTTTATCAAAATCTGTTATAAGAAAGAATAAACAAAAATAAGACACTGGAGAAAAAACTGGCATTATTTTCTAAGGGTTGTTTCCAACTGATTGTTTCTAGTTAAGAAGTCATCCCAAGGTAGCTGTAAGATACCAAACACTGCTCCATTTTTAAACTAAAGACCCATCTGTGATAAACAACTGATTTTTTGTATTTTATGAATCACTTTAAAAGACTACGATTAATGGAGTAATAAGTATAGTGAACTCTATGGTACGAAACCATCACAAGGGGATGAGAAGTGTGCAGTGTATTAGCTAGTTACTGAAAGATTCGTTAAATTTTCTTGGAGCTAGGGAGCAAAGACAAGGTGACTCTTACTTGAGCTACATAAATTATACATAAAATTCTATTCCTACACAAATTTGTATGCAGGAAGGTGAATACTCAGTCTCATCACATATTAAAGGGAAAAGTCAAAAATGCACTGTTCTTAGGCTTGCTTCACCACAACACCACACAACCAATGGCTTCTTTGCACCGACAACTTAAAAATCACACACGCATTATTATAAGCAGGTAACATGCCAGTATATTAAAGTTCATATTCTGCATCCAACGGCACAGAGAGATCTTTTAAACTCTCTTGTTACTTGCTTACCACTTTCTGATCCTGCAGAAAACCCTTCTGAGCCATGTCAACAACTTCCCTTTCACCCTGCTCCTACTGCTATTTTACCTTTCCCAAGATATAATAGGACTGAGATTTTCCACAAAGAGCATCACCAAACCAGGATTGCAAACACTTTCCTCTATTTCCCTTTGAGAAATAGAATACAGCCCGGACAAGTTTACAGCTAAAATGCACTGGAAATCAATCAGTCCGTAACTTTACCAGGCTGTGGATCTGTACTGGGTTCAGGTGGCAAGATTTTGATAGCAGGGGGGCTACAGGGATGGCTTCTGTGAGAAGCTGCTAGAAGCTTCCCCTGTGTCTGATAGAGCCAATGCCAGCCGGCTCCAAGACGGACCCGCCACTGGCCAAGGCTGAACCCATCAGCGCTATGGTGGTAGCACCTCTGGAATAATAGAGTTAAGAAGAGGGAAAAAACCTGTGGTGCAACAGCAGTCAGATGAGAGGAGTGAGAATATGTGAGAGAACAACTCTGCAGACCCCCAGGTCAGTGCAGAAGGAGGGGCAGGAGGTGCTCCAGGCACTGGAGCAGAGATTCCCTGCAGCCCGTGGAGAAGACTATGGTGAGGCAGGCTGTCCCCTTGCAGCCCATGGTGGATGATGGTGGAACAGATATCCACCTGCAGCCCATGGAGGACCCCACACCTGAGCACGTGGATGCAAGCAAAGGAGGCTGTGACCCCATGGGAAGCCCCCACTGGAGCAGGCTCCTGGCAGAACCTGTGGCCCCGTGCAGAGCGGAGTCCACGCTGGAGCAGGTTTGCTGGCAGGACTAATCAGTTATCTGATTAGCTGTTCACCTTTAATGTTAAAAAGACAATTTCTTGCAAGAAATGCCTTGCAAGACCTTGGTTAAAAAAAGATTTTTAAAATAATGTGATAAAAATATTCTATTCTATTTCCCCAAATAATTCTCCCATTTTCCTTTGTACTAAAATCATTCAGGAAAAATAAAACTGACAGAATTTCAATTAAATTTAAGAGGATACATAGGAAAGCTACTCTTTGCCTGCAGTTCCCTAACATGACATCTCTACTGCTGGGAACAACAAGGGAATTGAATCTTAAACCAGGATTATATTTTGAATCAGGGTAGAGTACAAACCGTTCAATCTGCCTGAGCCCTGTTAGATGTGATGCATTTCCTCACTGACAGTCACGAGCAGAGTTACAAAGACAATGAATTACGGCTTTGCAAGGCTACTAGGCTGCCTACTCCAGTCACAGAGTCTGTCTACAGTAATACTGAATGTACTGGATCAGCAGAATATGAATATTTCCACTGAAGAGTCTCTTTCGCTTTTATATCTTCATGTGTTAATAGTCTATCCTACTGCAATTTAGATGTGAGGCCATCAGAATAAATGGAGACATAGAAAATACACATTTTCAAGATCACTAGTGGGAAACATTTATAAAATCTGCAAAGAAACTACCAGTGAATCCAACAAGAGGGAGAGAGAAATGTTTTGGGGTTTTTTTCAGCGTAAGTTTATTATTTGTTATTACAAGCCTGCATCTTTGCTGCCTACCTTTATCTCTTGCTGTCATAAGAGAATCCAGCTGTAAGTTTCATTAAACAACAGCATCTCCAGACCTTTAACTTCATTGCTTACCTCATCTTTCTTCCCCTCCACCTCAAACTGTTTGGCGCTACCGCAAAGTTTTAACCAAGGTGGGTCATGAGCCATCTGCTCCAACTACACTTGTCTCCAGGAACCAGTGTAATAAAAGAGCAGAACTGCACACTGCTACGCTACTGCTCCACAGACCTTTACTGCTACTGTTTCAGCTTGGTCTCAGCATTCCCCTCCGTGATGGAGGGCCAACACAGATTTAATCAGCACAGAGTCAACATATTGAAACTATTTCATTTGTTAACAGCCATACAACTCCCCTTCCTACGGCTGAAAATGCCATGATTTAAGGCAGGATTCACACTCCTTACCTACGGAGCTGGAAAAAACCATCTGACTATGATATAGCTTTTACCTTGCCTGCGAAAAGAAATGGAGTTACACATCCGTGAAAATCTACTACTGACTTTGGAAAAAGAAAATGTGTTGTTTTAAAACTGGTATGTGGAACAATCAAAAATTACAACCTTCAAAACAAAGGTTTACCTGTTCGGATATCAAAGCCTTCAGGCTGAGTGAGGCCATCGATGATCAGCTGCAGCGTGTGCACCGTTGTACTTAGCCTTGTGGCCGTGCCCTCCAGTCCTTCCTTTTGAATTACTGCATTTACTTTTTGCTGCATATCTGGTTTTCCTATGTCATTTGCATTTCCCCCAATGAAAGATAAAAACCTGGGAAGTTCAAGCAAATATACAAAAAGAGAGAGATTTGTAACATCCTTTAGTGGGAACTGAACCTTTGTTACATTTAGGGGGTTTAATTACTTTTGCATTGATGCGTGAACAAAACTTTTGATAAAAAAATATGAACGGTGAACAGTTTCCCAAGTGCATATCCTCTCAACTCATCACTTTCCCAAGTGCATATCCTCTTAACTCTTTCATACATGGAAACTTAGAGTCTATCCATATACATGCATCTCCTGGAACAGACTACAAAACTAGAAGCAAAATTTCAAAATGTAATTCACTTAGACTGACGATTTCATCTCATGCTAAAACCAAATCTGATTATGACTGAAAGATGTCTTTTACCATCAAAGTTCCCTAGAAATAAGTGAGAGTTCTACAATACTGTAATTTTTATTGTGACACTCACTCAAATTAAGATGAATGGCAATTTAGTAAAACAACAATGAACATTTAAAATATTAAATTAATATGAAAAATCTTTAACCAAAATTAAGAAAAACTTTAAATAAAATACATCTCTGGTCTATGAACTTCCTGATTAAGAACAATTAGTTTTTCAGAAACTAGGAAATTATCAGAGTAGTTACACAACACCAACCCCCTTATCCTTCCCTATTGTCACATACATACACGCACTGCAGACTGAGACAGATTTGGAGTGGCATCTAAAAAAGCTGAAAAGAAATACTTTAAAATAAATGTATTGATCTGTGATCTCTTTTTTTAAAAATAAAACACCCAAAACACACTTACTGAGGTTTTTAGTTCAGCAATGTTGGCACATGTGCTGAGAAGCGCAGAGAATAGATGACAAAAATTCACATGCAGACCCTATTCCTCATTATCAGTAGCGACGTCTTAGACAACGTGTATTTATCACTGACTAAATGTCCTTACTTTACTGAAGGACTTAAAAATGCAGAACAAGTCTTTAATGGATATAAAGCAATGAAAGTGAGGGTGCTGCTCACAGAGGCGGAGCCACATTGTACTAAATAAAGCGATTTGCCCTTTTCTCAGCAGACACTTCAGTTATCTGGTCTGCTGCCCTGCTCTGCATCTCACCATGAATAAGCCTCTTCTACTCTGCTTTACCACGGCCCTTACTGCTGGAGGGAGGCACGTGGTTTTTTGCACATTCTCCATCACAGCAGATGGGTAGAATTATTGTCCCTGTCCTCCAGAGCCCAAGTAAATGTTCCTTCCACACTCCTAGAAGAGATCCCTCCTTCCCGTCCTTATCCTACTTCACAACAGGTGTAAACTACAAGGCACAAAAGAAGTGCTTGACCACCAGGTTCGTGCCCTGCACTTGGGAGTGGTGGGAGACATTCCAGCTCCATAAGAAAGCAAAAGCCCCCGGTACTCAACCTCCTTTCCTCCCCTTAAAAATACGTGCTGTGCTTTTATCAAAACCTAAGGCTTCTATTTCTTTTGGCAGGAGATGCAGCGGGTTTTTCTGTTTTGGTTTTGTTGTTTTCTTTTTTTTAACCTAAGGAACCCAACTGACATTATTTCAGGTGGTGAGTGATAAAAGTTATATGCACTGAAATACAAAATTAAATTTCTTTTTAAGAAAATACATATTAAAGGAACATAATTAAAGTAATATCCAACTTTCAGTAAAGCACAAAATTAATCTTTGAGTGCAAGGGCAAATCTTCACTCCAAAATGTCCACTGATTTCATCAAAAGGGAAACATCTGTTAAAACTGGCTGTCAGGACTTCCACTTTTTACTGAATTCAAACGCAAGCACGGTGATTTAAGTGTACTGTTGGCTCAAACACATATATTTGCACTGAAGAGCGATAGATATAGTTTTCACCTTAATTTTCTTAATGCATTCAGATCTTTCTGGAAAAGTATGAAGAAAAAATATTAATAAAGATTCATTGGATGATACTGTTCTCAGGATTTACTGAATTTTGTTTTGATTGACTGCATTTCAACTTTTGCCATCATTTTTTCAAGTAGTTTGAGGTGGTTTGGAAACAAAGTAAATATCAAAACAGATTCAAAATTGTTTACAATATTAAATACAAATTTTTATTTTCTGTAAACTAACAACAAAACACCACTACTACTCAAATATTTTGTCTAATAAGAGCCTGTATACAAAAAGTATCCGACCTTCTACAAAATCATCTTCTGTTGGTCTCAAAAGAGCGCTAAAAGCGGTTGCAATGATAACAGATGAAATGAAAACGCGCACGGGTCCGGGCGAAGCGCTCTTCATGAAGCTGCTGGGGGCTGCTGGCTGCTACCGCTGATGGATGGACAATGCCGCACCAGCGACAGGCGGCAGCTGCCCCAGCTTTGACTGACGTGCCAGATGTAACGCGGCTAACCCGACCAGCCTCATGACTCAACCTTCCAAATAACATACGCTTTACCGCCCGCCCCTATAAACAAGTTTGCTGACATTTGTGTACTTGGCTTTATTTCACCTCAAAAGGAAATTCAGCTCGAGTACCTCTAAGTAACATTTATTCACCATTAGGATTTCGCAGAAGCGCGCTCGCGCTGTAAATCGATAACAGGGTGGGTTTTGCTGCTAGTAAGTGCAACCACATGAAACAGTCACTGATGTATTTAAAAAAAAAAAAAAAAGCCCGTTACGTACAAAACTGTCGACCGTGGCTAATGTAATCAGAATGCACGGCACTACGTGCAGGCTGCTGGAAAGAAACCCAGCCCAAAAGAGGACACAATCCAGGTGCCTGAGCCCTCAATTACTATTCACGAAAGTTAATTTTGCTCCCCTTCCTCTGCCTCCCCCACCCTCCAGAAATCCCAGTGAAAGTATTTATCTGGTATTAAAAAGGATTCCTCATATAGATGAGGGCAGTAGGTTTTGGCCCTACACG